GCCCTGCACAGCGCGAGCTCGACCGGCGGCGCGCAATTCTACATGGGCTGCGCGCAAATTAATGTCTCGGGATCTGGATCGAAGATTGGCAGTACCGTCAGCTTCCCTGGTGCCTACAGGGCGGACGATGCGGGTATCAAGCTCAGCATCTACAACGCCCAAGGTCAGCCCAAGGGCAACGGAACGCCTTACAAGATTCCTGGTCCGGCGAAGCTCCAATGCTAGAGCAATAGCATGTCAAACCAGGTAGAAACTGAACACCATGGAGCCTACGTTGCCACAAAGTTATCTGTTTTGCTTCCTTTGTCCCAATGTAGTCCGCAGACCTGTTCGGATTTTTTCTTGTACAAGGTGATAGGAGACGCTGAGTGACTTGGATGGGCGTGCGCAGTCGGAGGTAATTCCGGGGCTTTGGGGCTTTTCGCGAGCATCTTTACGACCTTCTATGTACATACTGTAAGCGTAAAATTGGGAGATAAAATGCTGGTGGCCGAGTAGCGATATCCAATCAATGCGTCACCGAGAACAAAAGTGGTATGTGATGGTGATGTGATGTGTCGTTACAGTCATGCGCTCGTGCCTGGGCTGTGCAAGTGTACGGGCTGGTCGCACAACGGTAAACGGTGAGTGAGCCTTGCAGGTACCCCGCTTCAGGCGCGTCCACGGAGGAAAATGCAAAAGCACAAAGAGATAGAGTTAATACCTAAGTAGGAGTTTGAAACAGTTGTAACTATGTCTGAGCTACATGCATCTAAAAATCTTGCGCTTTTCGCAGCATTCTAAACAGCGTTGCGTTCGCCGTAGTCTATGAATGTAAGACAATGTAAGATGGTGATGGTGGTTTCTTGTGCCGCATTCCACCGGTAGATGGGCGGTTAGCGGACATGGTCGTGGTGGGCGCCGGCCCCACCACCCAACAAAATTCTGCGTTTGAAGAACCACTTAGCCAATGAATGAAGTCGTTCATTCGGACGTGTCTGGTGGTCTAGACAAGTCCAGGTGAGGTTGTCTTTGCCCCGCTGTGGTCCCATTTGCCCAAGTAAGTCCCCAGTGACCAACTTTCGAACAAGGATATAGATCTTGCTGCTGAGCTATCTTCCATCAATCATCACAACCACAGGAGTCGTGCCAGAGTGGTTAATGGGTATGACTCGAATAAGCTGTTCGTTTAGAGCAGCTTGAATAGATATCATATGCCTTCGGGCGCGCAGGGTAAGAAATCACTTCTCCACAACTACACATCCACAAGACAAGCAACTAACAGCGTTTTCAGTTCGAATCCTGCCGGCTTCGCATTCTTTTTGCCCTTTTTAAGGTCCTGTAAAGTCTACTGAAGCGTAGTAATAGTTGTGGTGGAGAAAAAGGAGTGAATTGGTATTTTTTGCGCACAAAACCACCATTTCTTGACCGATTTTGAATCCGAGACATGCAAACAGTTCTACAATACAAAAACATTCATTCCAGCACAAACAAATGCTCATACCTAGGTGTGGGGGTAAAACACAATTTTTGGTCATGTGAGACTTGGAGGGCTCACAGACCCCACTTCGGCCGACGCACGCAGTGCGCAACTTCAATCCTTCCACAGCGTTCAAACACAACCATCCATCTCTTCACACCGCTAATGCTCTAGGATTTTGATGCGCATCGTCTTCTCTTTGCCTCGGGTCATCGCATGCTGATTTCCAGACTCCGGGGGTGTAAGCCTGGTCCCTTGCGAGGGCGATCGGCATTCACATGCTACTCACGAGCTCCTCGCCGGGTGCGTCAACACAACAACGCATGCTTTGATCTTTATCGAAAGGGAGGACGACGCGACGCACGAGTGGTACAGTAGGCCTGCTTGGATCGCTCGCTGACGAAGTCATTGCAACACGCTTGAGGAGACATACGCGCGTGTTGAGCGAGGCATGTGATCTTAGCACAGGCTTGCGACCTACGGGGAGAGTGCAACTGTCGCAAACTTTGCCAACGGCGAAGCCTCTTACCTACAGTAAGCTGCTCATAGCGGGGGCCTGAGACATAGAACACCCTGTACCCGACAGACTTTCCAAGAATCTCGTTTTGGGTGATGTACCGCCATTGATAATTACAGTCAGTGCATCAACAAACATCTCGGTGCTTTTGTATGAAGGGAAAAGGACTTCATTATGCTAACAGCGCCAAGGGAATGAACAAGCAGACGACACCCACAGGAACCATCCCGAGGTGAGCTTCGTACAATTGTCTTGTGTGGGCAGAGGCTACTTTGCTAGCATACATCATTTCCGTACCTTGGCCGCGGCAACACTTGAGTGACGTATTCAGCCCTCTGTCTTCTCGCAACAATAATCGATGTATAAGTACTGAAGTGGTCCAGCAGAACAATCGATATGTTGCTTTTTGCAATTCCCCCAAATCGCTCGATTGTATGCAACAGACGTGACGGTCATGTCATCGTCTTCGCAGAAAACCTTGGCGCCATCAACGAAAGTTCTAGGCTGACAATATCCGTCCTCCTGGAACATGTTCTCGATATCCGCTGTGTTGCAGTTGCCTTCTCCAAAGACGACACCCTGCGTCGCGGAGCACTGAGTCTGGAAGCGGCTAGAGATATAGGTCAGCGCGTGGTCTCGTCTGGGTACCCTGGTGATTCGGATGGATAAGGACGAACTTGACGATCAAACAGCTCTGTACGGTACCAACACCAATTTGGCCGTCTGGACAGCCTGCGCCCATGATCGAACGAATAAGGAGCACAAGGGCTCCGGTAGCGGCGAGCTTCATGCTGTTTGCGTCGCGTCTAATTGTCGACTATTTCCCAAAGTACAATGTGCTCGTACGGGATTGAAAGTCTCGAAAGCGAACTCAGGTGTATGGATAGTATGAAGATGAAGGTCGTCGAGGAGCGAGGAGGTAGTTTTCAAGACCTACCGCGTCAACTGGCGCCTGATATATGATCCTCTGGAATCACATACGGCCGTATGGCTTCATGGCAGTGATCTTGTTGGGCCAGTCGGTGAACGAGGTCGTGCAGGAGAGACACGCCATAGTGTCGACATGGGCGTCATCCAGTCGGATGATCCAGTCTTCAGGCGATCTTCGCCCATCGCTCGAAGCGTATATTGCTCCACGAGTGGCGCCCAAGCATCATTCAATTGCGAGCTGACGAGAGAAGGTATAGACAAGCTGGTTCGCCAACATGCTTAGCCGCCTAGCGAGATGCTTGAACAATACGCCCTGTCAGATCGGCTGACTCTAAGATGTGAATATGACCAAGTAAATAAATCCTCAGTCGGATTACTATCCAATCACCTCTCTCGCATCACAGCACCTCCGCCTATCGCCTTGACTGATCAGAATCTTAATCAAAACTGCCCGGCCGTAATCTCATTGCTTATTGAGAACAGGTCCGAAAACGAACAATGGAGCACAGCTGATACCGGCAGGCCTGTATACTTACCAAAAACTTCGGAATGCTTGTAAGAGGTCCGATCAGACTTCCTGATGCTTTCAGATCTGGATGCCGTTACCCTCGCCTAATACCTCTCACCGATGGCTCTGGAGTAGACAAAGGAGGCCCGATCAGAGGGCCTGACATCGCTGGATCGGATTACCATCCCTTCTGTCTCATGTCTCTCGTCAGTTGCTCCGGAGTGAATATAAGAGAAGTCTAAGCAGACATCCCGATGACACCGGAGTTGAGCACTGGGAGTAGCTACAAGTCGTGTCGCATTACGACAAAAAGCCCAAAGTACTATTGAGAATACTTTTAGGTGGACGTATACATCAACTTTAGAACTACCTAGTTGTTAACTTTCACGAGTCTGTATGCAGCAAACGCGAGACAAATCCTAGCCACTCATGGTGGGTGCCATCGCTCCTGCCTCCTGCCTCTTACCGAAACCACAGATTGGATACCATCAACAAGCGCACTCCAACCACACCTCACCAACGTCACATCCTCCTTCTACGGTCTTCAGTGTCTCACCTCCGCACTTCTCGCTTTTAGTGGATAGCCTCCGCAGCCTTCGTCTGTCTGGCAGGCCTGCAGCCGCTCACTACCACAGTCTCTTATTGCTGCAGCGTTCGTCTCCCCTTCCTTGTATTACTACATTTGTGGCAGCCGTGCTGCGCGCATTTGCAATTTGTGATATCTTATAGAGACAAGCTCTTTCGAGTCACACCCATTCAACCACTCTGGCACAGTGTCTTGTCTTTTATTGATGGACAGAGGTACATTTTTTGGAAATAGAATATAACAAATTTGAAGCGCGGCTACTGCTAGCCTCAAACTTACTAATACAAGTGGCGAGGCTAGCGGGAACATTTACAAAGTCTCGAATTGTACTACTAGAGTAAATAGTCGGGCTACGATAACACCGCTCCTTCCTCGTGCATTATACTACTTACTAACTAGATGCTGGGGTAAATAGTTAGGCTACGATAACAGCGCTTCTTCCTTGTGCCTCACGGTTCTAACTAACTAGATGCTAAGGTAAATAGTTAGGCTACGATAACAGCGCTCCTTCCTCATGCACAGCACTCCAGCGAACAACATCAAAGCTATCGCAATCATACCGTATACCAAAGTACTATCTTGATGACCAGCACGAACCAGGACCAGACCGCAGTCTGAGTCAAAGGCGCACTCTATTCGTTCTCATGCCTCACGGTTCTGGCTAACCGGACCTTGGGATGCTGAGGTAAATGGTTGGGCTCGATGACAGCGCACCTTCCACGTGCCTCGTGGGTCTAACCAACTAGATCTCAGGATGCTGAGATAAACCTCGGGATGCTGAGGTAAATGGTTGGGCTCGATGACGGCGCTCCTTCCTCGTGCTTCATAGGTCTGACCAACCAGATGCTGAGGTAAATGGTTGGGCTCGATGACAGCGCTCCTTCCTCATGCCTCATGGGTCTGACCAACCAAGCCTCACCAAGCTCCCACTTATCAAAGAGAGCGTCTCACTTCCCATCAACGCCCCCGCTCCATCGCTCCCTCAATCACACGTCCAACAATGCCACCAAACAAAGGACAAGACAACAAGAAGCCTGCTCAAACACCTGTTCAAACACCTGCTCGGACACCTGCTCGGACCCTGCTCGAATACCTGCTCGAACACCGCGCCAGCAGAGCAACACATTGACGCCTACCGAAGTTTACGACGAGGGAGAGAACGACTTCAGCATTAATGTCTATGCCAGTCTCATGGAAGACGACATCACCACAGGCATAGAAGAAAAGCATGTACCCAGTATACTCAAGGGGTGTGCCATTAGCGACAACGATCTACTTGATGACCTGAGCCCCACCGACATCGAGGCGCTTGTCCAGCGGCTTCTCCCTGGCATTTGCCAGCAAGGTAAGCTACACGTACTCGTACAAGATGTGATGTACTCTGGTATACTGACTTTATGCTTGCAGATGTCCAAGACTTTTTAGCCCAGATTACTACACACAATTCGCCGCCCTTTACTATACCACGCCACGAGCGCGAACCTAAGAGCTGGCCCTCAACGTACGAAGAGTCGGACCTGTTGTGGGAAGAGGGAGCCAAGGCTGAGCGAGCAATCAAGCTGCCTGTCGGGACCAATATGCCGAAGTGGTTGGACATGGCAGAGGATCAGCTAGGTAATTTTCCTTTGGTACTTGGGATCTAAAAGGCGGCTGAACTAACTGTGCCCTTGCAGTCAAGTACACGGGGAGCATCCAAGACAGCCTGGTCGTAGTGTCATCATACCCAACAGCGAAAGATGGCAGTACGGTGCACGCCTCCTACGGCACGACGATGGACCTATCTAATCAGTGTATGAATATGCTCTATTCAAAGTTGGGGCTGCACCTGAAGTCCGTCCGACCGACCGGCGCCCTCCACGTCGACGTATTCCCCCGTCGCATCAACCGAGACAACATCGACGGGCTAGGCAACGTTGTCGACGAGATCCCCACCAACCTGAGATTGTTCTGGCAGTGTGTCGCCTAGGAATGGCTGGCAAGATCGCAGGCAAAGATCGCCCTACTTGTCGGAGCAGCTGCAGTCACTATCTATCTGTCCTACCTAGACGCGAACCATGTTCAGCACCAACAAATATGGTTGGCTGGTGGCAACAATGTAAGCTATAACTGTATGAACTGCACATGAGACACATACTGACTTCGTACTTCTATAGGAGTACCAATCAAGCAAGACGCCACCGTGTTGGATCGAGTACGACAAGGACAACAATATCAAGCGCATCGCGTTCTCAGTCCCGCACCCGGAGTATTTTAACCGCTACCACGGCACTGTAGTCACTCATACGATGAGAGCCAATGCGCTTAAAGAGCGTTGGATTGACTACGCGATGGTGAAGGTCTGGGGCACGGCACATCTGCAAGGCTTCCTCAGCTCAACAAAGTACCGCTTTCAGACCACAACGGGTATTATTCTGCGCATGTCTGACTTCGAGAACTACGGCGCAGATAGCACCACTCTTCGCACGATTCTCAGTATCCCCAACTTAAGCAACGCCACTCTTAACGTCCTCCTTACCGGCTACAAGAAGATAAGCAAAGAGGAGGTTGAAGGGATCAAGGCGATGCGGAAGACCATGGAGGTCGAACTCACGGAGAAGCCATCATACTGGGATAGAGCCGAAGTCATCGACCGATACGGCAATCATGCGTTGACTTTCAGATTGATCGCAGAGCGGCGGGAGGGGCCGAGGCAATCTACCAAGCCCAAACCGCAACCCCTTGCGTTATCGCTATATGAGATTGAAGGAAACCCCTTCCTCACACGATATAACACCACGGTCGCGGACCCTCTCGCGAAGGAAGAGACCAAGAAGCAGAAAGCGTGCGAGCGGAGGAGGAAGAGGAGAGCAGTTGAGATGGAGGGCGAGGACAAAGAGAACGTCGAGGACGAGTGGTGCGAAGGTGATAATTCATAGGGCGCTATCCTGGACGTCTTTCTCTGCTTGCGCGTTATTCGAGCAAGCGGCTTGTCTTCTTGTGACTTCTTTGGTGGCATTGTAGCGCTAGCCTCGAGTGAGCGGGCCACTTACGGCAGAGGACAGAAGGCAAATGAAGCACCGACCTCACAAACACGGTCTCAACAGAGCAGCGATGCGCCTTTAGCTAACAGTCGCGCTTTCCGACCCAGTGCCAGCCGCAAGCGCACGCCGCAAAGCGACGATGATTCATCCGACTACGCGAACACTGAGTCCCACGAAAGGCGAGAAGAGGACAAGCAAGATATGGAAGAGCAAGAGCTAGAGGAGGCATCGCTGGAAGAAGACAAAAGTATACCCGCAGATAACGAGAACGATGATAATCACGAAACCTAGGATATCATCCGTCGCTGCTCTATCACCGATGCGGCGCTCTTTGGTGAGATAACTGTCCAACATGTCAAGAATTTCATCAAGCGTACGGTGCCTCAGCTGTCAAACACCGAACTTGACGCCTTTGAGAAAGAGATTCGCAAGCGTTTAAACTCATCTCCATCATACTTGGTACCGGCCAAAGTACGCGACTCGACAGATTAGCCATCAACGTATGATGACATGGATATGGTCTGGCGACATGCGCATAGTGGGGAAAAGGCAGTTACGCTAAAGAAGATCCCAGTTTGGCTCACCATGGGAGAAGAGAATCTGGAAGAGCCTTTACGCTCTCTACGCGACAGTCTCATGATCATATCGTCATAACCCACTACCGATGGAAACAGTACTATTCATCGTCGATAAGGAATTGGCCTGGACTGATCCAATCTCTACATAATACTACTCTTCGCTAAAATCAGTCTGTATCTACCATCTCTCCGACAATCCAGAGCCTTGCACGTACATGTAATGCCTCGTCGCATCGACCGGAAGCGGGTAACCAGCGGTACGACTCCGAGTCCCCAGTGGGATGGCTTGAACACGATAAGCAAAAACCGACTGTGAGGCGGCTCAGTCTAGCGGTATACCAAGCCGAGTCCTTTGACAGAGATCGAAGTGTTCCTGTCACCAATAAGAAGCATCAGTTCGCCATTCAGGAGAGGCTTATCGACTACACTATCGTACTGCTATGGAATCAAAAGCATCTTCAGACGTCTATGAGCTCAGACGTCTACGTGCTCAGATGCGTAACATGCCGTTCTGACCAGCCTGTTGCTGTCTTCCTTATCCGATCGCATATGCTATCCTCACACAGGCTGCCGTTGGCTTCATTGATACACATGTAGACTCTCGCAACCAATCCTCTCAGTCCACCGCGACTGACAACCCAAGCTTCAACGCAGCATGAAGCTATCGCCTCATGCAAGGAAGAAACCGAACTCACACCCTGGAGCCTAAATCAGCGTCAGGCTACCTACTTTGCACCTTTTTATCTTAATGTAGGCTGCAGACCTGTTTGGGTTCTCGTTGTATAAGGTGCGATGGTCAAGATAGCAGGCACGATCAGAGCGAGAGCCGAAGCAAAGGAAAGGTCAAGCGATCGATGGAGCGATATATCGAGGTAGTGAACCAGGCGCTTCTTGATAGCGGTGCCACGCATCTCGTTACCTAGGTAGTGATGACTGATCCTCTGATTCAGTCAAAGTATTGGGGATGCGTGAGAGCGAGAGAGACGCGCGTCATATGGTCTCTCTGCTCTATTGTTGTACATGCAATCCACCTCGTGGGCACCTCCGCTTCATAGTACTCGGAGGTGTGCGGTCATATAGCCCGGTAGGGTAGGTGGTGCTTCTCTTCCTAGGTAGGTGCTTTATATAGACATCAACCCCTGCGTGTCCGATAGTAAGACCGATCTTAAGCCCTCGTCAGCTATTACCAGGTTACGATCAAGTCGTCTTAGTATGACGTCAGAATGTAGTGACCTATGTTACGGAGAGTGAGCATGGTGCTATACTCGTGACGAACAGTGTTGATCGAGGGAGCAGTGGGGTGTGAGGAAACGATCAGTAGGTTGTCCTTGTCGCTTCCTGCAAACTCGACGAGCGTTTTCATGGGCATTTCGATACCAGCGAGGAGCTCAACAACCTGTTTCCCTTGCACAGCCATATCCCAGAGTCTGTCTATTTCATCATCGAAAGAAAGCTAGGTCGTTGGCTGTCTGTCCTGGGATGAGATGAGGAAGAGCAGACAAAGCTCTGCGTATGAACGAATCTCGACTTGGAAGCTTTCCTGACTGGACAACACTGGCTGTATTCACTCTCATCGAATGATAGCTCATCAAACAAGACTTTATCTGCAATAGACCATCAATAGATGGTGCCGTCATCGGGGACCTTCATCGCTGGGTTAGCTATCGTCACTGCCGCCGGTGACTACAACGAGGCTTTCCTTCTCCAACTCTTAGCCACACCAAGCCTTGGAGCATAACGTACAGTCTGCCGTACTAGTCCGTCACCGTAAACCCCAGCGAACACCTCCAGGGTACAACTTCAAGCCTAGCTTCGACCCAGCGAACTCTCTGGTAGCGAACAATACCAAACATCTAGAAAGCTCGGATTCGCGTTTCCAATTCCCAAAATGCCTACCACATAACGCCGCGCCTTCAGTTTTGTTTCAGACCCCAGGACACATCAAAGCAGCGAAGGAAAAAGAAAACCCACCGAATCCTCACCTCGGCTTTACAAGAGAGCCACAATATGCACGAGAGAGTCAGTATCAACCGCAACGGCATCAACGGCATAACGAACCCTCCCTCTCAGCCCACAAACGCCCAGATGCCATGACCTTCGCACATGCTCTCCAAATGCCGAAGCCCTTCATTTCCCAGAACATGTAACAAACGCACCGACGCACATAATCCCCGTTGCAAGGCCAAAGCAAGTGCGAGAACAAAAAAGCACGCATGTCAAAACATCAAGACAAGCCGACCCTTCTTTCCCTTCTTTGGTCGGGAAATTTGTCGATACCCTCGGGGAGATCACGGGTCCGCACTCTTCAGCCTCACGGCGACAGCGAAAGGGAAACGAGCAAGGACGGAGGAGGGGTGGTGAAACAAGAAGGGAGGCCGAAATCGCCGAAGTCTTTCCCCACCTTTTGCCGTACCCAGCCACTTGGACTACGGGCACCTCGGAGTCGGCTCTTTCACGAGGCAATTTCACGCATCAAAGTGCGGAGAAAAAAGGCGGTCAAGTTCGTCTGGGTCACTTTGGTTTCAATCTTGCCTTGGGTAACATTGCGCTGCGTTGTAGGTGCGTTTCAATCCCAATTCGCGTGACCTCGAGCCTTTCTCGAAAAGGGTGGTGATTAACTGGGTGATCGACGCAAAAGTATGGGGAGGGGGAGGGAGATGTATGTTCATTGGTGGTAGCTGTACAGCGCTTTAATGGTGATGTGCAAGGCTGAGGCTGAAAATGTTGGGCTAGTGTGGCTAGGGGAGGCTGGGGCATCGCGAGGGCTCGCGTGACACACAACCATGTGCAATAACTGGTGCACAGAGCTTGAATAGCATGGTATGTTGATGACGTTGGTTGTGTGGCTGTGAGGATAATGCTCGTAATTGCGGTGAGTCACCAAGTCTGTAGGAGTAATTGCAAGTCTGCTTCGAGTGTCACAGTAGATACATCATGTAATGTGACTGATTTTGATTGGCGGAGGTGGTAGATAGAGTAGCTAGAAAATGGGGGGTGCTTGTTGGCAGGGTGGCTACATGGCGACAGGCAAGAGGAGCACACATGGGGATAGGGAGCGGCAGGACAGGAACTAATGCCCTCAGGTAAAGGAATGGCTTGGACGAAATTACCGTCCGTAAACAAAGAACAAAGACAAGAGAGCGACCGTGGTGCTCTTGTGCGCCGGATGGAGTTATAAGTGACCCATTCAATTGCCCGGTATCTAACACCCCACAAACGCCCAGTTGAGGAAACAAGAAAAGGTTGGATATAACACAAGAGAGGTGAAAAGATTCTTCGGTGCAGCCGCCACAAATCTTTCTTTATCCTCGTCAAATGCTGGTCTGCACAACGGTATGGTGGTTCCGTCGTGTACTGAATAGTAACGGGCTAAATCGCAAGATGATTCTTACTCTCGTCGTCAAAGCGTGATTGCGCGCACCGTGGTGCGAGACATGGTAGTGAAGGAGATTAGGTAGTTGCGTAGTCAGGGTATGGAGGTGTTCGTCAGCGACGCCAGTCGTGAGAGAGGGTCGACGTGAAGAGCGCACGTGTTGCGCCAATTGCCCTGTTTGAGGCACTTATACGTTGGTAACCTAGTGGAGTGTCAGTGAGTGGCGTTTCGTCAGGCGGCATCGTGGATCGCATACCTTCAATATCCGCCTCGAGTAGTCCTCGTTGTCTGCAATACTGCCGTTGCTCTGCCTCCGGTCGACGAAGCTCGGGTCCAGACGCGAGTCGTTCATGGACGAGTTGCTGGTGTGTAGCTTGCCGCCGTTGACGAAAGCATTCACGTTGGCGGCATTGCGACGGTAGTCTTCTTCTGCTTGGTGCTGACGTCTCCGGCGGAGCAAGAACCATACACCGAACATGATCGAGGCAAGGGCTAGTATGCCGACGACTACGCCCACTGCGATGGCGATTGTGTTTGGTTTGCTGTCTTCTTCGGGCGCCGCAGATGGAGTGGCCGAAGCCTGGGCGGCACCGGTTGATGTCGGAGCAGCGGACGACGGCTTTGGTGCTACTGAGCTGCTGCTCTCTACTTCGGGCTCGTAAAAGTCGACTGGGTTCCTAGTTGTTCCGGTGAGAACGACCCATAATTTGTCCTTTCCACCACCTAAGCGCTGTCAGTCGGGAGCGAAATAAGGGAAGGTTGTCAGCTTACAGGTCCATGTCTTGTCGCCGCTACACGTGGTGCCACATGTCTCGTTCTTGATCTGCCACTCTTTGGCGGGAATCTCGTCACCACACCAGCATTCCTCGCCGTTCGACAGACCCATAACGGGCTTGTTTTGCTCAATGCAAACGAGTTGACAGTTACCAGGCGACTGGAAGTTG